CAATTTTGATAGGTCAGTGGGCTCGCTGATTTACGGGCCATTGCCAGTTGTCTTGAGCGGATTTTTTGTTTTGGAAATAGCGGAGTAGGACGCCTCCAAATGAGTACGATTATTCCCAGTTACAAAGCATGTGATCCCATCAACTTATTCCCATTTTCCAAATCATGTGACGCCATATAAGCTAGCAATAATGCTATTTTGGTCCTTCCAAAATTCAAAATTCACTTGTGACCCTAAGAAAACATTAAAATGGTAAAGGGAAAGTATATAAAAAGATTAGGGTGTCGGTCCGGGTTTGAGTCCAGTCGATAACACATTCACAATTATATTATTTGAAATTTAATGAGAATGAATGTGAGATCCTTGTATAAAAAATAATGACAAGCAGCAATTGCAACCTCTGCACACGACTAATATCTCAATTGTAAAATGTCCCAATCCAACTAAGGATAAGAGGAATTAATATTCCAAAATTGGCAATTGATGTCATTTTTACAGGTAAAGCTCACCATAGATATCACATCTATGTGATCTAATGGGCAAGAATGAATGTGACATCTTTGTATAAAAAATAATGATTAACAGCAACTACGACCTCCTTGCGACTAATATCCCAATTGTAAATTGTCCAAGTCTAACCAAGGATAAGAGGACTTAATATTCCAAAATTGGCAATTCATGTCATTTTTACGGGTAAAGCTCACCATAGATTTCAATGTGATATTTATGTATCAATATTTAAAGGAAAAAGTTTATATAAGGTTGCAACCTTAAAATGTAGAATTAAAGATGCACTTCAAAAATCCATGAAAAAATGTTGTTTTAATATTGAAAGACCCTCTAATTGATCACCTCGACATCGAGATAAATGAATATGAAAAAAAAAAAAAAAGATTTCGAATCCCTGAAAGAGTGCATTTTGCAACACATTATCTAGACCATCCATGTTGAAGATTTTCATATGTTTATAGATCTACTTGATTTTAACTATTTTAAAATTTTATAATTAGATATGAAAGTAGATTTCCTAATAATCTTAAGAATTGTTTACACCAAAATTACATGTTATGATAAACTTTGAAAGTGCGCCTTAATTGGATTGCTAAATGTTACAACTTTATAGAAACCACACCACACCCATATTTAAATATCATTAATCTTGATGTCGAAATGATGAATTAGAGGGTTTTTCGACATTAAAACAACCTTTTCCGATGGATTTTTTATGTGCATATGTAGTTCTACATTTAAAGGTTGCAACCTTATATAAATTTTTTCCTTCTAATAATTGCCTAGCTAATTCAAAACCGCCCAAGCATCGGGCTGCCCGTCAAGGCCCTAAATCCCACCTCCCACAGTTTTGGACAAGCTTTCTATGCTTCCCCTATAGCATAGAAGTTCTATCTCCCCCCTTATCTAACCGTCCATTCTGAATGGAAGGCTATGATTGCCCCAAACACAATGTCACGTCTTTACACTATATTTTTGATAGGTGCGCCACAATGAGAAGATAGCACATACCAAATTTCATATTCATACAATTTGTATAGATAAAATTAAAAAAAAATAAAATTGAGACATCAGATCTAAGATCAAACAGTGAGTGACTCTCTTGATCAAAATTGGATGGCTGGATGATAAAATGAGAGTAGCACTTCTATGCTGTAGGGGAAGCATAAAAACCTTTCCCACGGTTTTGTTCCTGTTCAAAACGATCCTTTTGGACGCCTACCAGTCGGGTTTTAAAACACTAATTCTCACATCCATCTCACTCTTGCCAGGTTCTTATTTTTAAAACAAGGATATTTAAGTAATAGCCCAGAAAATTAGTGTTATTTTCCACATTTTCTTTCTTATTTTACGAATCTCCAAAATTAGGGACCTAGCATTAATAGCATGAAGCGCATAATGCCAAAAGCCCAAGACACTAACCCCTTGGATTCCCTAGTTCATGTAGCCCAAGGTTTAAGAAAAAACAGGATTAAATGAAACGGATTTTGAGAAGAAGAGCATATATGTCACGAGATAGCATTAAATGAAGCCAAGACAAACATTCAACCGCAAAACACTCTCTTGGCATGTGATCCCGCGAATTATATTTCTTTTCTAATTCCTACTCCATGTGCCCGGTGAATCCATAAGATCTCCAATTATTTAAGTCATCAATATTTCTTACATTATAGTAAAAAACAAAAACCGACATGGTGTCTTCACTTTTGCAAGAAAATAACAATAATAACAATAACAATAATAACAATCACAATAATAATAATAACAATAATAATAATAATAACAATAAAAATAACAAATAATAATAATAATAAATATGTACTTGTGAACTTATGATTACGTTTATTTTCTTAACTTGGGGTCAATTTCCTAAGGGCATAGCCTAGCCCTAGCTCGGCCTATGATAGCGCCAAAGAGGCTTTAGCTGAGGCTCACGCCAAATACAATAAAAGGAAGAAATAATAATAATAAAAAAGGGCTTACCCGGCTTTTTTTTTTTAGTCATAATAACAACACTTTGTGGCCCAGGCCCTTGTTTTTGTAAGGCATGGCCAACCGACCTATTATACCAAAAGAGAGAGGGCCCTTACTTTTGGTAAGAATTGAACCTAAGACATAATGTTGTAAATTGTCAAGTGCTAACCAATTAAGACCAACTTGAATACCAAATATATATATATATATATATATATATATATATATATAT